TAAAAATAATAAATTATGTTTATCTGAAAGTGTAAGAATGCAAACAGGTTTTCTGTAAGGGGTAGGTTTAGGGTTAGGGGATAGAAAATATCGTTTGGTCAGTATAAAATTAATAGAAGTCTATGGAAAATACCCACAATTCACAGAAACAAACGTGTCTGTGTGAATGTGCGTGTGTGTGTGAGTGTGAGAGATGTGTTTTTCTATTCTGGTGGGGACTTAAACCTGAATACGCACAGACAGTGTGTGTGTGTGTGTGTGTGAGTGAATGTGTGTGTGTGTGTGTGCATGTGTGTGTTTTGTTTGTGTGTGTGTGTGAGGTGTGGTGTGTGTGTGTGTGCGTGTGTGTGTGTGTATTTCACATAGTTCACATCTGAACCCATAATGTTCCTCCTGCTTCTGTTACTGTGGAAACGTATTATTCTGCATTAGTTCAACTTGATTTCTGAGAGAAGAACTGAAGCTTCTCCGTCTATGTGTGCGTGTGTGTGTGTGTGTGTGTGTGATTGACAGGCCGTTGCTCTGTCAGTGCTGATGTGTGTGGGAGGAGCGGGGCCGCCTCGCTCAGCCCCGGGCCCAAACGCAGATCGCCGACGGCAATGGAGGATCTGCGCGTCAAAGATGGCCGGCGTGGAGCGCGACAGATGTGCTTTGATCTGACGAGACACACGTGATCAGAGACGCCGACGCTCATTACATCACCGTTAAACTAAATCACTTCAGAGAACCAGCGGACAAACACAGCAGCATCTCACAGTCATGAAAAATCAAACCTTTCTCAACAGTCAGCCGTCATCTGGAGCTCAATATAAACATTATATGATCATTTATGATTTGAAATTACTGAAACTTGATAACTAAAACTATTAAAGACATTTCTGTTAAATTAAAGCAGAAATACAATAAATTAAAATATTAATATTAGAATAAAAAACAAAAAAAATCTAAACTAAATAACGATTAGAAATAAACAACATATTCATTACTTGAAATAAAACAAATAATAACCAAAATTATATATATAGAAGATGAAATATACATGGTTCAGGGCAGTTCCGACTGGTTTTAGCTGTTTATTTCTTATGTATATGATATCTGTAAGAACCGAAATAACTAAAATTAAATCCATAAATTGAACAAAACCTGAAATCATAAACTGAAACCGTTTACTTGAAATAAAATGAATGTTAGCTGAAATAAAATAGAAGATGTAAAAAGTTCACTTAATACTTAGTTTATTAATATTGAATATTATTAACTTAATTTAGTTGCCTTGGAATCAATTCTTTCATGTAGTTTAACGTGTTAAAAACTGAAATAAATTAATAGAGATATATAAAAAATGGAAAATATAAATCTGATTCAAAAACTGAAACTGAAATAGTGAGCTGATCTGTTGTCTACTAACTAGACAGCACAAAAATGAAACCTTCTAAGCAAGCTCCGCTCCAAACCCTAGTGAGTCGACTACATAAGCAGCATGTTAAGGCGTCAAAGACACTGTTCTAGAAAGCATAATTAGCAACACTTTATGTATTTTGTCTTTAATGTGTCTGTATTTTGTCTAACTGCACTGGCAGATTTTTTATTTTTTTTTTCAAGTACAAATAAGTGAAAAAAAGAAAAATTTCAAGTGCAGTGAGACAAAATACAGACACATTAAAGACAAAATACATAAAGTGTTGCTTCTAATGCAGCTGCATCCTGTTTCAATGATTTTTTGGCATTTTATCTGGAAAACAAGGCAAAAAGGCTAATTAAAAAACTTTTAAGATATATTTTTTGCAGTGTAATATTATCGTTGTTAGATATGAAATAATGAAATAAAATAATGCAAAATAATTATGCTTTCTAGAACAGTGTCTTTGACGCTTTAACATGCTGCTTATGTAGTCGACTCACTAGGGTTTGGAGCGGAGCCAGATCCAGACTGACAGATTCAGAATACAGACGCGGATGGATGGAATCAAGAATGATATATAAGTATGAAGAAATCAATAATGTATATAAGTACACATTACGATTTTTTGACTGTTTCTGAAAGAAGTTGCGTTTATTTGAAGAAAATTACAGTAAAAAGTGTGATGTATTATTACAATGTAAAATAGCTGTTTTCTATGTGAATATCGGTTAAAATGTAATTTATTTCTGTGATCAGAGCTGAAATTTCAGCATCATTATTTCAGTCTTCAATGTCACATAATCCTTCAGAAATCATTCTAATTACACGTGTGTGTGTGTGTCTGACGGCTGTAGGGTGTTGTACGGTGTAACTGATAAGGCAGGATGTTTCTCTGAGTTGTTGTAGTGCTGGAATCTTGAAGCGTTTCAATCAGTGCATGACGGATCAGTAATCCTCTCAAAGTCTGCGCCACACGCTTCCCCTCCGGACACGAGTGTTCACATCACACACACACACACACATACACAGAGATTACATGTCACAGCCAATTGGGAGTTTAAGCAAATATGTGTGTGGGGGAGGATTTATGTTTCTGATTGCTAATTTCACAAAAAAATCTTCCATCAACTGTGATATTGTGTAACTCTTGGTGGCATCTCTCATCAGGACTGTGTTTCATGTCTTTGGTTGTGTTTGTGATGTGTTTCTTCAGGCTGGTATCGATGGCAAACATCTGCTCTGGTGTCTCCTGTAGCTAATCACAGGCTTTGATTACTCGCCCGCAAACAAAGAGCAACATTAGGAGCATTTTCTGTCTGTAATCCTCACAGAAACGCCGCGTTTGTCTTCTACTGGTGATAATGCTCGACATCCATGAATTAATCTGTGACGTGAAGAATGAGGATTATTAAACCGAGTGTTTCCACTAGAGACATAAAAACACACTACAGCTGTTTGAGATCGTTTCTGAATGATCCAAATTAATTTTATAACAGTATTAATCCCCGCTTTCTGTACACATTGTTATTGGGATCAAGTCTGATCTCAGATGCTCTTTGTTCAGAGTGACCCTTTAAAGCACTCTTAGTTTAGTCAAAATTAAAGATCCTCCCAAACATCCTAAAATCACATCAGTGTTCACTTTAAAGGGACAGTAAAGATCTTTACATTTAGATATATTCAGCTCCATCAAACACACAAAGATGACGGATGAGAGGACATTTATATGACATGAGACAAACTACAAACAACACACTCACACACACACACACACACACACACACACACACACACACACACACACACACACACACACACACTCATGATCAGATCAGATTAAATGATGGATCTGGCGGTGTAATCCAGCAGAGATTACTGCGGTAAACATGACTGTAATTTACTGCGGTTATTTCTGCGGCGTACAGTCGAGCGTCAGTCCCGGGATATCCAATATTAAAGCAGCGCTTTACAGTATAATATAATATTCTTATGCTGAAGATGTTACAGTTTTATCCGCTTCTTATTAAACATGCTGAACATGCAGCAGTAAATAATGATGTTTGTCTGTGATTGTGAGACACACAGAGACACAAACCTTCACAAACACAGACAAAAATAAAAGATTGGAATATTAGAGCGACTGAACCCTAAAAAACATCAAAAACATGTCCAGCTCACATTCCATCATATACATTATTCATTTTCATTGGTTAACATTAAATAACATGAACTAAGAATGAACAATACTTAGCATTTATTAATCTTTTAACATTAGTTAATACACTGTGAACATGAACATTTTTAACATAAAAATGCATAAAACAGCATAACATGCTGTTAAAGTTTTTGTTATTATCTAATGTTAAAAAAGAGAACTTGTTGTAAGGTGTTCCAAAATAATCAAAGGGTTTAAAGAGAAACAGGAAGAAGAACTGTAAAAGAACTAGAATTTACTGTAAACTGGAGAGTAAACTCAAAAATATTTGCAAATAATATTTTTCTTTTAAAATATGTACAAACTCACTGTAAATCTTATGTCTAAAATCCCAAAAATGGCTCCATTAATGTTTCTTCTTTTGTCACATTCAGTAATGAATTACATGATGATGTAAATGATAAGATGTATATCCAAAACAGCAAAATAAAATAAAATAAAATAAAATAAAATAAAATAAAATAAAATAAAATAAAATAAAATAAAATAAAATAAAATAAAATAAAATAAAATAAAATAAAATAAAATAAAATAAAATAAAATAAAATAAAATAAAATAAAATAAAATAAAATAAAATAAAATAAAATAAAATAAAATAAAATAAAATAAAATAAAATAAAATAAAATAAAATAAAATAAAATAAAATAAAATAAAATAAAATAAAATAAAATAAAATAAAATAAAATAAAATAAAATAAAATAAAATACTGAGTAGTTTGCATCACTGGTTATTTCTCTCAGTCGCATTTCTATCATAAAACAGTTGTCAAAAATTAAATGTTTAGCAACTCACATCTCATTCTGAAGTCTTTCGTTGTTAAAACTGGATTTTATTTGCCATGCCAATCATCTTGAAGTGTGGCATTAACAGACAGACCAGCTTAACAATTTTACTTTTTAATTTCTTGTCATCCATATAATAAAAAGAGTGGTGCATAATGGCGTGCTGCAGATATTTCCAAATATATACATCAAATATTAGGGACATCTGTGGTTACGGAACTGTTTAAATTAGCTAAAATATCATAATATACATTTTAATTTACTGAATGAAAAATATATAATATCTTATTTTTCTATTGATTTGGGCTGAAATATGAGCTGGACACGAGTGACGTGCAGCGTTTATTAATGAGAGCCGGTGATTGTGTTCGGAGGCTCGGTTGCGAGCGCAGGGACAGTCAGGGGCCGCGGTGACACAGTCAGAAACACATGAAAGCGGTTCAGGGATGAGGCTCTGAAGACTCACACACACTGTTCTCCGCTTCAAAGAACAATGCTCACTCAGAGGAATCCACAAACAATACAGGAGGAAAAAATGATAAAAACAGCCAGAGAAACTGAACGGAGTTTAGTTCAAACTAAACTAATCGTACCTGACAGGAGCGCCTCGGCTCTGAGCCGGTTTAAGCACCACCGTCACCGTGCTATCCGTCTGGTTCAGAGGAGTCTCCTGATCGTACGCCGGCATCGACGGAGCTGCAAAGTAAGTAAGCAGGCAAGTAAAATTTGATTTATATTGCACTTTTAAAACTACAATGTACAAAGTGCTTTACACAGTATAAAAACACATTCATGAAGAGCTATACACAATATATGAAAAAGCAAAAAAGATCTAACCCAAAATGCACAAAATACTAAAAGCACATCTATACAAGTACAAATACAAGTACAAGTACATTCAGATGCTCTAATATCCTCGGGCAAAATATTCCATAGTTTTGGGGCCCTCACTGCAAATGCTCTATCTCCTTTAGTTTTATATCTAGTTCTTGGAACTGCCGGCAATTCTTTAAAAGAAGATCTAAGACATCTTCCCTGTCTCAGAAGCTCAGCTAAATACATGGGTGCCAAGCCGTTTAAGGCTTTACATGTCAATAATAAAATCTTAAAATCGATCCTATCATAAACAGGTAACCAATGTAAAGAAGCTAAAACAGGTGTAATATGATGAAGTAACTTGGTTCGTGTCAGTAATCTGGCTGCAGCATTTTGCACTAATTGTAAACGTGATAAATTGCATTGATACAAAGAAGAAAAAAAGACGTTACAACAGTCAAGACGGGAAGAACTTCACACCAGGAAGCTTTAAAACAGCAGCTCAATCACTACAGTCATCACACAAGTGCACAAATGTAAGTCAATAAACCAGTGTACATTCACATATTTATGTACAGTATAATTTGGAGGCTATGAATCGCATTTTCGGATCTGTATATTATGTTTCTGGAGTGTTCTTGCATCATAAAAGTTCAAATAGTTGTAAAAAAAATGTTTATTTTACTAGGAGATCATTTACTAGGAGGTTGCCAGGTCGTTGCTAGGGTATATTGTGTGGTTACTAAGTGGTTGCTGGGCTAGAGTGTTGTGGATGGTTACTAGGAGGTTACTAGTGCATGTTTTGTCACTAGGAGGTTGCTAGGGTGTTCTGGGTGGTTACTAGGAGGTCGCCAGGTGGTTGCTAGGACATTTTGTGTGGTTACTATGAGGTTACTAAGTGGTTTCTGGGCTGAAGTGTTCTGGATGGTCACTAGGAGGTTGCTAGATGGTTGCTAGGGCAGTTAGTTGGTTCTTAGGGTGTTCTGGGTGGTTACTAGGAGGTTGCCAGGTGGTTGCTAGGGCATTTTGTGTGGTTACTAAGAAGTTGCTAGAATGTTCTGAGCAGTTACAATGAGGTTACTAAGTGTTTGCTCGGCGCTAGAATGTTCTGGATGGTTACTAGGAGGTTGCTAGGGCATTTATAATAACTAAGAGTTCGCTAGGGTGTTCTGGGTGGTTACTAGGAGGTTACCAGATCATCGATAGGGTATTTTGTGTGGTTACCAAGTGGTTGCTGAGCTAGAGTGTTCTGGATGGTTACTAGGAGGTTGCTAGGGCATTTATGATAACTAAGAGGTTGCTAGGGCATTTATAATAACTAAGAGTTCGCTAGGGTGTTCTGGGTGGTTACTAGGAGGTGTCCAGATCTTTGCTAGGGTATTTTGTGTGGTTACAAAGTGATTGCTGGGCTAGAGTGTTCTGGATGGTCACAAGGAGTATGCTAGATGGTTGCTAGGGCAGCTAGTTGGTTTCTAAGGTGTTCTAGGTGGTTACTAGGAGGTTGCTAGTGCATTTGTGGTCACTAGGAGGTTGCTAGGATGTTCTGGGTGGTTACTAGGAGGTTGCCAGGTTGTTGCTAGGGCATTTTGTGTGGTTACTAAGAAGTTTCTATAGTGTTCTGAGCAGTTACTATGAGGTTAGTAAGTATTTGCTGGGCTAGCGTGTTCTGGGTGGTAACTAGGGGGTTGCTAGGGCAATTAAGTTGTTCCTAGGATGTTCTGGGTGGTTACTAGTAGGTTGCCAGGTGGTTGCTAGGTCATTTTATGTGATTACTAAGATGTTCCTAAGTTGTTGCTGGGCTATAGTGTTCTAGGTGGTTACTATGGGGTTGGTAGGGCAATTAGGTTGTTCCTATGGCAATCTGGGTGGTTACTAGGAGGTTTCCAGGTGGTTGCTAGGGTATTTTATGTGGTTAGTGAGAGGTTCCTAACTGGTTGCTGGCTAGAGTGTTCTGGGTGGTTACCAAGGGGTTGCTAAGGCAGTTAGGTTGTTCCTAGGGCATTCTGTGTTGTTACTAGGAGGTTGCCAGGTGATTTCCAGGGTATTTTATGTGATCACTAAGACATTCTTAAGTATTTGCTGGGCTAGAGTATTCTGGGTGGTAACTATGGGGCTGCTAGGGCAATTAGGTTGTTCCTAGGGCGTTCTGGCCAGTTACTAGGAGGTTGCCATCTGCATGTCCATTGAGTTACTTCATAGTCTTCTATGCTATTCCAGATTAAAGCATCTGCTGCAGACACACACCTGAGATCTTGGTGGTGGCCTGGGTGATGGCGGGCGGTCCGAAGCCCTTGGCGGTGCTGGCTCTGATGGTGAAGGAGTACGTGGAGCCGGGGTAGAGACCCAGAAACACGTGGCTGGTTTCATTCCCCAGTTTAACCACCTTCCCGCTCTGGTTAGAGAGATCCAGCACCGGGTCGAAGGAGCTGACGGCTTTATACGAGATCTGCGGGAACGAGAACAACACAAACATCAGCGTTCATGTTAGAATCACACAAATTAATTTCAGTGTCGCCAAACAAATGATTCAAGAAGTGCTTTGAGTTCCACCAAATTAGACTCTATTATATCTGAAATGCTTCAAGGCCCTTTCCAATTATCAGCCTACCATAAATAAATAAATAAATCAATAATAACGTCTGTGATTCTGACGGATCAGGGTAGGAATCTGAAAGGCAAAGTGTCTTCTCCTTATATTTGGAAGGGTTTGTTCATTATGCGGCATTAATGAAGCATCGTACTCGAAACACTTTGATTTGCGACCTTTGATATTGAGATTTTCAGAGGAGCTGGACTTTGATAGTTCTTGTTTTTTTCTGGATTGATGGATCTACTAGTTTCCAGTCTTTGTCTCAAGTAACTATTAACTATTAGATAATCTGTCGAAGTCAAGATATTCAAAACCGTGAAGAATTCCTCAAGCTGAATCCTGAACCTCTGAAACTTTCTCTGCTGAAGTCCATACTGCCAAATCTTCATACTTCCACAACAAGATCAACAGCGCTCCAGACACGCTCAAAATCACTTTCCAGAACATTCTCGTTCACCACTCCTGGCTGGTGGAACGATCTTCCCACCCCTATCCGGAATGCTGAATCCCTGACAATTTTCAAGCGACAGCTGAAAACCCATCTCTTTCGAAGCTACTTGACTTCATCATAAAAAAAAAAAAAAAATAAATAAAAAAAAAATCTCTCTCTTTATTTATTCCTTCTCTTTCTAGCTTGTACTTATTTGAACAATGTCTAAGAACTTGGTATTACAACCACTTCCTGTGTCTGTTTGCCTCTTTAAGAAGAATCGCTTTATGTATCCCCCAATTGTAAGTCGCTTTGGATAAAAGCGTCTGCTAAATGACTAAATGTAAATGTAAATGTAAATGAAACAACTCTGAAAAAAAATGTTTCCGATGTCTGAAATGTTTGCTTGTGCAAAACTCAAAACTGCTATGCTAAGGTGTCGTTGGTGGTTGCCAGGGTGTTGCTAGGGCCTTTTGTGTGGTTACTAGGGGTTTGCTAGGGCATTTTGTGTGATTTGAGGTTACTAGGGTGTTCTAGGTGCTTACTATGAGATTGCTAGGTGGTTTCTGGGCATTCTGAATGGTTGTAAGGAGGTTGCCAGGGTGTTCTGGGTGGTTACTAGTAGGTTGCCAGGTGGTTACTAGAGCATTTTGTGTGGTTAGTAAAAGGTTGCCAGGGTATTCTAGGCAGCTGAGATTCTTAAGTGGTTGTTGGGCACTTTGTGTGGTTACTCTGAGGTTACTAGAGTATTGTGGTTGCTAGATGGTTGCTAGAGCAGTTAAATTTTAAGGTTGTTGCTAAGGTGTTCTGGGTGGTCGATATGGGATTATTATTTTTTGTTGTTACTATAAGGTTGCTAGGTGGTTGCCGGGCAATTTATGTGCATTGTTTTGAGTTTTCAGAGTTTTCAGAGTTTTCTCGGTGGTTACTAGGAGGTTGCTAGGGCATTTGTGTGGTTACTAGGGGGTTGTTAGGGCATTTGTGTGGTTACTAGGGGGTTGCTAGGCTGGCTGTGTGTGTGCGTGTGTGTTCACCTCATACTGAGTGATGATTCCGAAGGTCTGCGCCGGTTCTCTCCACTTCAGCAGGATCTTGTCCTCGTAAACACTGGCCTGGATCGAATCCAGAGGAACTTCCCCCGGCACTGACAGGAAGTGACATCACAAACCATCAAAACACAGCAACAGCAGCAGCTCTTCATATGCATACGACATCCTCCGTAGCTGTTTTGTTTTGTTAGATTTAACAAACGTTAAATGAATGTCTGGTAGCTAAGAAGTGAGCGGTTCATGTTGAAAAGTTACATGCTGTTACTTGGTATTAATAAGTGAAGGTGTTTTATTACTAAAATGAGAACAAATTATGGTTTTGAATGCATACATCCACAGAAATGCACACAATCCCCTCAGATGCTCACGTTCTCCTCCTCCAAACACGTCTGTGAGCGCCAGAGATTATTTCTGATTTGTTTATGGTTTCATCCTTTCACAGGAGCGTTATTCACTCGATGTGACTCTGAGCAGAACAAAAGAGTGTGTGTGTGTGTGTGTGTGTTTAACATCCAGTTGAGACGTGGCCCAGGTATCTACTTATTTATAAAGGTTGCCGATCTCTGGAAACAAAAACTTCATGTTTATTCCATCCGAAGAGCTCTGCTAATGGGGGACGTAATTAGACATTCAAGCTAAATGTCAGCGCTTCACCGCACTGGAAGAAGGAGTATGTGGAATAAGATGAGAGCGATCCAGCAGCTCATTCACTGATGTAATGGGCTCTTAGACACATTACAGCGCTCATCTGATCGACTTAACGCTCTTCAGATTTAGCAGAGAAGCCTGTTCTGATCAAGAAGCTTTCCTGTCTGTTTCAGGTTATTGAGGTACTTTATGGTTCTTTGTGATTAATAAATCCAATAAAATAAAATCACGATGTTTCAGAAGTTCTTCAGATCAGTGGTTTTTGGGACAAAGACGCTCATCTAAAGAACAAGAGTCATATTGAGTCTTGGTCATATTTTACACACACGCACACGCACACAGGCACACAGGCACACAAGCACACACACACACACACACACAAAAAAAACAATTATACAATTTATTATAAAAAATGTAAATATATATTAATTTTGACCTTTGTTGTTTTTGTTATTTTTAGTAAATAAAAAAAACGTTTAGCCTATATATTTTTTATGAATTTTATTTCATGTTTTTAATAAGAAGATATGTTCCATTTTAATTTTCCTTCAAGTTTTTAATTTCGTTGCATGTTTTTGTCATTTTTAGTTTTTTCTTTTTTAAAGGGGTCATATGATGCGATTTCTATTTTTCCTTTTCTTTAGTGTGTTATGTAGCTGTTTGTGCAAGTATAAGATCTGCAGAATTACACAGCTCAAAGTCTCCCACAAAAGGATTTATCTAAAAGAGAAGGCTGATCCAGACCGTGCTAAAACGGCTCGTTCTAACACGCCCCCACATGTCTTCGTCATGATGTGGAAATATTTGCATAATGCACCCAAATGTGCACGCAAAGAAAGAAGGCGTGGTTTCAGGAACAGCAGTAGTGTTGAAGCAGCATGTCAGGGAGACGCTGTGTGTTTCAGTGCGAAAGCAAAATCACTTTATTTGGCCTTCCGAAAGTAGATGCAATTAGGAATCATTGGTTAAGATTTATTTACAACAGAACAGCACAACCCAGATGTTCGAATTTGTGCAACGCATTTTATGGATGACAGTTTTGTGAACCGGAATGTAGCCTACAAGACTGGCTGTGCAAAGGCTATTTCTAAAAAACAAATGGGCCAATTTGAATTGACTATGACAATCTGGTGCTTATTCTGAATCAGCTACTGTAAGTTTGTTTTCTTAATAGTTTAAGTATTTGCTATTGACTGTTCAAATGCGGAGTTTTGCGCCGTGTAGAGTATTGCGTTGTGTGTGTACGTAAAAGAGAGACAGTGTCACTCACAGTGGAGTCAGCTTTCTTAAGGCTTGTGTGCTGCAAACACATACCAGCTTCATCACTGTGTCTGTCACACGACTCTGTTCCCCTTTCGGGCTTGAACTGATGGTAAAACTAATGGCATTATTTACTGTCTTTACATTTATTTTGAAAGATGAAGCTTGCGATTATGGTAAGGGGCGTTACATTTCCGACGAGTGCTTGCGGTGTTCGGCCAATCACAATGCACTGGATCAGCTGGCCAATCAGAGCAGACTGCGCTTGTCGGAAGGCGGGACTTTGTAGAAAACGAAGCGTTTGAGAGAGGCGGGGCATAGAGGACCTACAATAATGTACAGTATTTGAAAAATAATGTGTTTTTTGAACATTAAAGCATGTCAACATATTCTGTTACACCAAATACACAAAATAATGATCTTTAAAATAGCATCATATGACCCCTTTAATAATAAATAGTGTATATAGTGTTTATTAACTGTACAGTTTTAGTTATTTTAGTACATCATGTTAAACTATATTAAAATGAGAAATGTTGAACTAGCTGAAATGAAAAGTATATTTTATTTTATTTCCATTAATATTCAAGTTACGAAAATGTTTTGTTTTTAATTGTTAATATTAACCAAATAAGTATATTACAACAACCCTATCTGGATGGATGGATGGATGGATAGATGGATAGCTATAGAGGATGGATGGATGGATAGATATAGAGGATGGATGGATGGATGGATGGATAGATGGATTGATAGATAGATATAGAGGATGGATGGATGGATAAAAAGATGGATAGATGGATAGATATAGAGGATGGATGGATGGATAGAAAGATGGATGGATGGATATAGAGGATGGATGGATGGATAGATTCCGCTCTCTCTCTGTCTCACCGTCTTCATCGGTCTGGACGTGGATCTCGGGGCTCTCTTTGACTCCCTCACGGTTGCGCAGCAGCATCCTGACGCTGAGGTTGGTGAAGGGCGAGAGGTTGTGGATGGTGTGCTGGCTGCCGTGTGCCGCCTCCTCCCTGCTCTCCTCCTTGCCTCCTCCTCTGGCGCGGTACTGCACCGTCAGGCTGTAGTTGTGGCAGCGTGTCACGTTGTAGCCCAGCGGCTCCCAGCGAAGCGTCACCTGACGAGCCTTGATGTCCACCACCTTCAGCTGCTGCGGGTCATGCATGGGCTCTGAGAGAGAGAGACAACAACACCCAGTGTTGGGGGAAGTTACTGTTAAAAGTAATGCATTACAATATTGCGTTACTCCTTAAAAATAACTAATTATGTTAAAAAAAAGTTAGTTACTTTTTATGGAAAGTAATGCGTTTTGTTATTTTTTAGTTACTTTTTAAATCTGGGCAGGGCTTGCTTGTTTGTTTTTAATATAAAAAAGTTCTTCTTTTACAAATGTAAAAGCCCTTTCACAAAAGTGAAATGAATACGCCTCAGGCTGAAGGAAATGTAAATTCACGTCTGTAGCTCAAACAAATCGCATAAAGAATATGACACAGGAGAAGAAAGTTCAACACTAATCAGCAATAACAAAATTGAAACACAAATGTCTTCTTAGTATGGTTAAATTGGATCATCGAAGGCCAGCAGCAAAGACATCGGTTAATAAAATGTGATTAAATACATAATATTAGTCTTATTGAACATATTTAATTATTGTAGGTTTGCATAATATTCTGAGTTTGCATTTGACTGTTTTTATTGATTTTGAGGAACACTGAATCTGTTTTTGTGCAGTGAGATGAGTAAACATGTTCATATTTAGTCTAGAGCTACAGTAAGATCATGTTCACACACAACGCTCTGCACTTACTCCTGATTTCTGTCACCACGGCAACACCAGAGCTGTCACTCAATACATGGAAACAAAAGTAACTGGGGTTACTTATTTGAAAAAGTAACTCAGATATTTCCTTTTTAAATTAAAAAGCAATGCGTTACTTTACTAGTTACTTGAACAAAGTAATCTGATTATGTAACTTGTGTTACTTGTACTGCGTCACCCCCAACACTGACAACACCATAATGATGCAATGAAAAACACCAAGCATTCACGCAAGCAGAATGTCAAAAACACACGATAGTTTGTAAGAAACATTCTCAATACAGCAGCGTACACCGACACACAACACAAGACCTTCCCAACAACATCTGAAACCACATCAGATCTGCCCTAAACACGTCATGTATATTCATGTTATATTTACATAAACCAAAACTAAACATTGTCATCATTTACTCAACCTCGTGTCATTCCAAACTGATACATTATTTGATTTATTACATTATTTGACTGTGAAACACAAGAAGATGCAACAATACAGCAGTTCATAGCAACCACAATTGTGAAGATCCAAAAAAGGACAAAATTTCATTTATATTACATTTATATTACTGAATTTATATCTCACAATTTTAGAATTTTTCTTACAATTAATTAATTAGTTGGGCTAACCAAGACTTGTCATAGCACTTGCATTTTATTGCTCTTTTGTTGATTTTGATTGCTTCTATTGTCCTCATTTAGGATAAAAGCATCTGCTAAATGACTAAATGTAAATGTAATTCTGATTTTAAATCTCACAATTTTATAATTTTTCTTGCAATTCTGAATTTTATATCTCACAATTGGAAAATGTGTATATCTCTATCTAGAGTTTTTATCTCATTTTATCTAATTTACTACATGGTGGAAACAAAAAGCAGAATTGCAAAATGTAAAAACTGTAGAAAAAAAGCAGAATTGTCAGATATAAACATGGAATTATGAGAGAAAAGATAAATAAATCAGAATTCTGTGTTGATATCTCATCACAGTTACCTTTTATATTGTTTCATTCTATGGTGCAAACGGCCTTCCATATTCACTCATATGCTCTGTGCTTTATATTCCAAATCCATCTGATGTCAAATAATGATTGTTAGAAGAGCACATGTAGTTAAGCATCTTTATTGAGTCACTGTTGTAAGAGCCGTGTGAAGATTCAATGTGTTCATGCACAAAGTCAGTCACAGAGGTTTGGAGTGACATGAGTGGAGTAAATGAAGACTGAGTGAACCGTCCCTTTAAACAGACGCACACAAGCTGGTTTCTGATTGTGTGGCTCGTGGACTGGAATCAGAGCCTTGATCCCGTTTCTGCGGGTCTGGAAACATGAGAGAGACTCCTATAAGCCACTCTAGGATCAAAGCAGCAATCAGAGCAGATGAAAGACTCCATCTAATACAGCAGAACCAAGACGAGCATCAGACATCTGATCAACATCTGCTCAATGCATATCAAACACACAGAATCAAACTGCTTCTGTTCCTCTTTTGTAAGTCGCATTGGATGAAAGAACCTGCTGAATGCATACAGTAAATGTACAGTACATGTAGAATCTGCAAAATAACTAACAAAATAAAAAGTATCTTAAAAATTAATTGGTTTTGTTAGTCCAGAATACTGTATTTTCCAAAACACAAGTCACGTTTTTTATCAACTGAAACATGATATAGGCCTATATTTTATACTAATATTTTTCAAACTGTGTTGATGATCCAAACATGAATAAGCAAGAGAATGGAAGCTTCTGGAAACAGGATGATGGAGGTAAACTGTCATTTTATCTTCTGGAAAACATGCATATCTTCAGTCGCTTCTGAAGGGCAGCAGTGAATGAAATCAGAAGATCTTTCTCCGTCTGTCTCTGTCTCTCTCTGGATGGAGTTCAAGGCCTCAACACACACTAATAGGATCAATTTCCATTCTCGCTTAAATCTGAAGTCCATTTCTCTGGAACTTAACATTTTCCCACCTATTAGATCCAGACAGCGCTCAATTTCCCTTTTCCAGTCTGGAGACACACACAGACACAGACACACAGACACACACACACACACACACACACAGAGACACAGAGACACACAGACACAGACACAGACACACAGACACACACACACACACACACACACAGAGACACAGAGACACACAGACACAGACACAGACACACAGACACACACACACACACACACACACAGAGACACAGAGACACACAGACACAGACACAGACACACAGACACACACACACACACACACACACAGAGACACAGAGACACACAGACACAGACACAGACACACAGACACACACACACACACACACACACAGAGACACAGAGACACACACACACAGAAAAACACTCACTCGCTCATATAACATCTCTCAGGTTTGTCATAGTGTTGATATATATGTAACCGCTTCATGCATCATATGTATTATATTAGTATGTAATAATAGTAGTATGGCTGCATGATATTGGTAAAAACTGATATTGTGATAGTTTGATTTTCTGCAACATTTCACCAGAAATTTCACCAGATGACTTGAATAGCTATATTTTTTGGGGGGGAAATTACCATTTAATGAGTTATTTTGGTTTGTTCATCTGTAAATAAATAAATAAAAACAGCTGAAAAGGCCAGCAAGATTTGGGAAAACTTTTGTTGTTCATTTTTGAGTTTATAAGAATCAGTAAATTTGGTCAATTTGCTTAAACCATCTTTATCAGAATCACTATGCTGGTCAACCAGCACTAAATCACCTTTCTGAAGAATCTGCTTTCACAAAGCGTTCAATGAGTCTGAAAATGTTTTACTGCTCCTCACATCTGAAGACAAATATGTGAAGTGACCATCAAAGACCAACATTATTTGAGCAAAGCAAACACACAGTCTAGACAGACAAGACGCGCCGATATCAACAACACAGTCACTAATAAGCTGTTTGTCTCAAGGCCAGAGGACTTTAACAGACGCCAGGCTATAAAACACATTCAGACTCTTAATTCAACCCTTTTACATGCAGCGGGAAGCTCTTCTCTGAAGATTAAAATTCAAATTCAAATTAAAATTAAAATGAGTTGTTTTGATGACCCAGGACGAACAGGTCATTCTGATTACAAAATTGTTTATACAAAACACTTTACTTCAAGCCTTTAAGTACAGTATAATGCATTAAGTTCAAGTTATGCATAATTCTTAAATGTATATTATAATGCATTATATCTTTAAATAATTGTAACCAAAGTTAAAATGCATTATAATATTTGCAGATTCCTAAATCAGTTAAATCTGGTTGCTTGTCATGTGTTTTAATGCATTGCACATTCTGAAGATGTAATAATAAATAGATAAGTCTTATAATACATTACACCAACAATTATTTATGGGATAACTGAATGCATTATAAGGTGCATTAATAAATGCATTAAAATACTTTTATAATGCATTAAATATAAAGGCTTCAAGTGTTACCAGATTAATAAATGCAGCTATCCGTCAAACATCGTCTTCATTAATTCACCTGAATATTGCTGCTGTTTCATAACATGATTTTAGCACAGTACATGCCCAGCCTCGGGTGGCCCGTCGCCGTATTGTTCAATGACAGACACTGAATGTTTCAGAAGAATGAAAGTTCATCTCAGATGTTTGCATGTTCCTCTGTGAAGCTCGTCCTTGACTGTTCAGACCTGACAGCCGAACGCTCGCTAAATGATTAAATGCAAATGGAAGGAAGTCAGATAAAAACAGAATGCACGCACGCATTACAGGGGACAAACTGCAAAGACGGAGCAAACGTGACGGAAACGCTATGAACAGAGTTTAGCGTCTCGGATGCATTTCATCATTTATTCACAACACCAATAAGCAAAGCAGAAAAATTACATTTGGAAAGGTCAGACGCACGAGAAACAGCTGAGAATGCAGGTTCAAGAATCAGTCCGTCTTATTCTGACAAATCAAATGTGTAATATCACCAACATTCACTATATATTCATATATATTCAACTTTAGAGTTAGTAAAGTATGTAAGGGATAATGCACGGCTCACTGCTTCATGTTGGGTGGTTCTTTGCCTCCACGTCATGCATAAACATTATATATATATATCATTTTCAGTGTGTGTGTGTGTGTGTGTGTGTGTGTGTG